GGATGAGAGACCTTTTATAAATTTTTTTTAATAAATTATATAATTCTATTTTGATTAAATCAATTACAGTTCCACTAATTCAAACTCCATATAAATTCAACCAAGTGGCTTTAGGAATGTTTAATGTGAACCAATGGTTCCAAAAATTTAAGATAGCAAATTATATAGCTGAATATATTTATACAGATCAACACTTTATATAATATAGTGCCATATACAAGGTAAAAAATGTATGTATTTAATTATGTACAATTATTTTTGGAATTTATATTTGAACATAATTCGTATTATATTAACATTTTGTGCAGACTGTTTACGTATTTTCAAAGCCGTGCAATTCCGCTTGTACAAATGCATCCATCTAAAATCAATACAAAACTAAATCAATAATACATATTGAGATCTTAGATACTGGCATTCTAACATGGGATGGATGATAATTCTAGAAATTTGAATGTCCTTCCAAAGAATTAAATTTTATTTATCTGTATGTGATGAAATATAAAGATCCAAATTATCTAACTCAGTAATATGATTGTATATATATTTTTTTTAAATATTTTTGAAGCAAATAGATATAAGCACTCTGCTGATACACTTTACGCACACATTCATCATCAGAATTAATAAATATATACACTAAATATAAAAGCTATGGTATATAATAGGGTGTACATAAACAAATTTGTAAAATTCAATCATTTTCTCTTGGATTCCTCTCCCTAATTATGAATTTGGTGTTTATATTTTTATTTATAAAGTAACTAAAATTTACATGATTCATTTCTTGTTGGACTGCAATTTGAAAAATCTATAGACCTGTAAACTTCCACTGTTGTCTGTCCTTCCTTAATCTCGAGAATGGTGTTATATAGATGAAAGTCAAGACCAGATATAGAAAGCTTAGGGGCAGAAGGCCACAATTAACTATATACAAAATTTTTCCCTAAACAGAATTACATAGATGACCAGCATGATTCTGTTATTATCAGGAGAAGTATGATGTACAGGGGCAACTACTAATTTGAGATTGAGAACTTATATTTTAAGTTAAATAAATTAAGAATATAATTAAAAATCGCAGCCCTGCATTGTGACAATTAATGCCACAATAATTTTTGCTTGTTTTAGATTCCATTTTCACCGTTTTGTTTCAGAATCAGTGAAAAGGGGGTCTAAAACTGATCAAACTTTGGTTATTTTTTAAAAATTTATTTATTGATCTATAAATTGGTGATACTATATTGACATGTTAATAAAACTGATTGATTTTATCAGTTTTACAATCAAATATTAAAAAAGGTAAAGCCAGGATGTCTGGTCACCCTATTTATGTACTGCCCATTCTGTATTTTATCCTTCTCAACACTTTGCTAAATGTGGAGCTGTTCATAGAAGATAAAATAGATTTTCTGAGTTATACATTTTCTGTTTTTTAGGCTTCTATAACAATTAAAAGAATTCTGTAGATACTATTTAACATAATATTTAAATGTTAAAACTTAAATAGTAGCTTAGTATTTTATATATTTAGCTTCTATATATTTTTATTATTCTTATTTTGAGATCCTTTGGTCTTAGATACTTAAAAATGTTATCACCTAATCTATTTGAAAGTTCAGTGTTTTCCAACCATTTTTAATTGATAATCCCTTTATAACATTCTTGAAAACTATAAAATTATTCCAGAATATAGCTTACAAGCTAGCTTTTATTATTATGTTTCTTCCTGAATCTAAAATACAAAAGCAAAAGGCATTAAATTTGTTTAAATTAATTTTAAAAAGATTGATTGAATCTAGGATAAATGCCACATTTAACAAAACCGTAATCAATAAATGCAATTGTGCTATCGATAAAATAAAAGCAATCAATATAAATGTAATAATACTTGTACACAATGACAACATATTATGTTTATAAACTTTAGTATTATTTTCATATTGCGATACTTATTTAACATTTATTTCTGTTATGCAAACTAAATCTTCAATTTTAAATATGTCGTATAATTATGCTAAATTCTTTCTAATCTGTAATTTAAACTTAAGAGCAGAACTTATTGTTTCAATCAAATTATTTACTATATTATTTCTTTTGCCTTATTACTCCAATATAAATATGGTATGACTGAAGTCTATTACTACTTCCAAGACTGTACAATCGGCTTGTACTGGAAGCAGATTTTTTACTAAATCCATATCTATATTGAAATAATAAAGCTGTTCTAGTATCCTGTGTCTATGTGGGCATAATATATATAGTACTCAATACAGAAGACAGTGAATTTGGCTATATATTAGAGCCAGAAGGACTTCAAAATATAGCCAACTTGACACTTAATCTGGATTTCAGATCAGCCAGAATTACTGAGCTCCATATAGTGTCTACACTGCTAACTGATATAATTATCCAAACTGTACGCTGCTCAAGTTTATTGATACAGTAAGATTTAGTCATTTATTACTTGAATATATAGAATATCTTGGAGATCTACTTCAAAACTATGTTAGTTAGTTAGTTTGATGGGATACGACAATGTGTCAAAGAGGAATGCCTTTCGGAAAGATTTTCTACATAAAACTGACCCCCATTTACATGTTAGACAAGCAATTATTTATTGTGACATTGTCACAATGCTCTCAGTTTTAGTAATGTCTTGCTCCTGTATATTTTTGAACTGAAATAATGGGACTTCTGATCCAAACCAAAAGTTCATATATAGTTAATTGGAGCCTCTTGCTCCAAAGCTTTCTATATATGAACGTTGACTTTCATCTGTCTAACTTTGTTCTTGTGAT